AACTCTGATTTCATCCTTTCCAGGGAACACTCCCTTTCTGACAACATGCTCAGGCCCCCACTTCTTTAAAACAAACAGTACAAAAACAATCAATGCCTTTCATTTGACTTTGCTCTCATGTCCCATTAAAATCTGTCTAATCTTTCTCAATTCGCTGAAACCTAGTTTCTGAGATTGATAAATCTAACAGCTATTCTTTCAAAGATTACCTGTTACCTACTTTTTATTACATTCAATGATTCTCTCCATTCACACCCCCCTTTACCTCTCTGAAGCATCACCCACTGACCTAGTCTAGTCACACTGCTTACATTTATATCCAGCTTGAATATTTACTAGACTAAGTTACTTAGCTTACCAAGTCTCGGTTTCTTCTTTTGTAAATTGGGAATAATAACAGATCGTATCTCTTAGGGCTTTTGAGAATTTTTTGGTAAAGATTAAGTGAGATAATCCATGTGAAGCAGCAAGGACAATACTTGGCACACAATGTAACTCAGTACTTGTAAGCCATTTCCCATTCTTACAAACCTCCTTCTGTAATCTAGAAAATACAGTAAAGTGAAAATGAGAAAGAAATAAACACTGTTAACATCTGGCTAATTTTTTTTTCAGTTTATCCTCTATGTGTCAAGGTCGTATCACATATTCATTTCTCTATTCTGCTTTTTAAAACTTATGAAGGTGGCTCGAAAAAACATACAACCATGCCAACTATTCTCATCCAGGACTTCAAGTAGGCCCTTAGTAAGCCTTTAACAAGTTCCCAGGCCTATTTGCTTTCTTCTAGGCATTATTGCACACCTTTTCTCTGCCCATAACAAAACAGAATCAGACAGAAGAGAACCTCCAGCTGTGCCAAACTCTGTATTTACTGGCAGGCACTATCTGCATCTGGGTCCACATGTTCTACTTTCTCTTGCACTGCCGTGGATAAACCCTCCTTGCTCTAGTAAAACCATCTCCCCCCCACCCCCCATCACATACTCTCTGACCCCCTAAAGGATACTTCTCCAACAATCCTTCTTCCCTTTCCCTCCCGCATCATTAACTTTCCCCTCTCAGAGTATTCCCATTCGGCATGCATCCATGTGTGCTCAGTTACTTCAGTCACGTTCAACTCTTTGCAACCCCATGAACTGTACCCTGCTGGGCTCCTCTGTCCATGCGATTTCCCAGACAAGAATATTGGAGTGGGTTGCCATTTCCTCCTCCAGGGGATCTTCCTGGCCCAGGGATGGAAGCCAAGTCTCTTATACCTCCTGCATAGGCAGGTGGGTTCTTTACCACTAGCGCCACCTAGGAAGCCCTATATTCAGCAATAAACACATGTAATGCTCATCTTAAAAAATAAAAATAAAAGTATTACTAAGTCTTTCCTTGACTCTGTTTGCCCCTCTAGCTACACCCTATTTCTCTGCTACTCCTTAAAGCAAACAAACAAACAAACAGAAAGGCTTATCTAAACCTACCATCTCTAATTACCTCTCTCATCCCACTTTCTCACAAATGTATTCCAATCAGGCTTCTGACCCTACCATTCTGAAATAGTGTTCATCAAGGTTACTAGCAAACACCACGTTGCTAAGTCCAGGATTAAATGTGCAGCTGATCTCTCCTTTCCCTTTTCTTAATTAGCTTCCATTTAGCATCTTTGCTCACTTTCTGCCTCAATGACTGGCCCTTAATTTCTTCTACTGGTTCTTTCTCATCTTTCCAGCCTCCAAATGTTGGACTGTCTTAGGTCTTACTTCTGAAACTGCTTTTCTTCTTCAACTCAATCTCATGGCTTTAAACACCCTCTATATGTTGACTAGTAAATCCCAAATATGTATCAATAGTTGGCACCTCTCCCCTAAACTCCACAATCATATAACCAACAGTCTAAATCTTCTCCTTTCATACACTGCCCCATCTCAGTAGATGACAACTCCATTTTTCTAGGTGCTCAAGTCAAACAGCCTTATAATCATCCTCGATTCTTCTTTTTCTAACCCTGTAAATCTAATCCAGTCCAACAACAATCCTGTTGACTTTACTTTCAAAATTTACTCAGAATCTAACATTTTATGATCACCTCTGCTGCTATCACCCCAAGCAAGTTCCCTGGTATTATTTCATTAGCCTCTGAATTAGCCCCTGCTTCTTCCCTTGCCCCTTACAGTCTCTGCTCAACACAATAGACACTCTTTGTGATACTATGGACTGCAGTCTGCCAGGCTCCTCTGTCCATGGAATTCTCCAGGCAAGAATACTGGAGTGGGTAGCCATTCTTTTCTCCAGGGCAATCTTCTTGACCCAGGGATTGAACCTGGGTCTCCTGCATTGCAGGCAGATTATTTATGTCTGAGCCACCAAATATCTATCTGGGGATCTTCTTAAGAAATGGATTTTCTGATTCAGCAGTTTGGGGATGGGTTTTTATTCTGCATTTCTAATAAGCTCGTAAATCATGATAAGCTCCTAACTAATGACACTAATGCTCCTGAAGACCACATTTTGAGGTTCAAGACTCTAGAATAATCTGTATTACTTCCCACCTGACCTCTTTTTTCCTAGCATGCTCCCCTCCAAGCACACTGTCATTTCCCTGCCTCAGGGGCTCAGGACTGGCTTTCCCTGTCTGCCCTTCCTTTGGAATCTGCACAGTTAACGTCCTCACTTGTAAGGTCTCTGCTTAAATGTCACCTACCAGCAAGTCTTTTCTGGTCATCCAACATAAATTGCTGATCTGTAACACACACTGTATTCTTTTCTATCTTTAAAATTTTTTATCTTTGGCATTTACAACTTATTGCTTGTGGTAAGCCATGAGAGAAACAATTTTGTCATCTGTCTGTTTACTACTGTATCCCCAGGTGATGAGAACACTTCCTGGCACACAGCATTACCACCAGTAAATACTTCAGCATATTAAACGATCTGATCATGGGTTATTTACAGAACTTATATTTAGGATTCTAAATGCCAAAAGCAATGCAATTGTTATAAAAGATAGAAAAATCCCTTTGTCTATCTTTGCTCATCAGAGCAAGGAGCTGTCATCTGGTAACAATAACAGGAAGGCCAAGAAGACACAAGCTGCAGTTTTATCAACAAGCTGCTTGATAATGAATGAACCCTGCTTGCTGTGGGCGATAACAAACTTAATCTCTATTCTTTGTAACTTTCCAAAGCAATCTAACTGATACAAGACACTTCCAAGCGGTACAGTGACATTATGTGTGGGGTCCTGCTGATAATTGCAGGAACTGTCTGTGGTCATCTACAGGTTTCAGTGTGTAACTGAATTATACATACACTGTACAGTATTGCCACTATGCATATATGCTTTTATCTATCATTGCACTTTCCTGGAAATATGATCTGGACTCTAAGAAACTATTACCTGAAACATGTCGGGTCAAGTCTCAGACATTCTAGGAAACATCTTCTGCTGTAATTCTTAAAACTACCACGACTCTATTCTGGCATATGGTTAAGAGGTAAGCATCAAAAATTAAATTCTCCCCAAAGACTAATCATATGCACCAGAACTGTTTATTGTGTAACTTAGAGAAAGTGGTTAATGAATATAATCTTCATGTAACACAACACTACAAGGAAAACAGAAAGTAACAGAAAAGACATGTCCCTCACCCCCATGGAGCTTGGTCGTGTAGTGAACAGACAATAGAATCAGATGCCGGCGGTTGTTCTGAAGCGCTAGTCACAGTGGCAGCTATGGAGTCTTACCTTTAAGGTGCGATGGAAGATGTCTGATGGACAGTACCTCTTGCACGACATACTGATTCACCCCTCCACTTTTCAACAACTCTTCTGGGGATAAGGGTAGATGGAATTCACATACTTGGGGAGACATCTTTCTCCCAATGGCTCACAGGGCTGGAAGCCAAACAGCAAATAAGTCAGGGTCTACATCTAAAGGCTGTCTTTTTAATCTGCTTCTTTTACTCTCCTCTTCAAATATACATGCTGTTTAGTTTTGCATCAAGCTAATAACATTATCTTAAAGGATGTGATTAACCCTGGACTAGAATTAAACTCTAATTGTGACTCTGACACTTGGTCACATCACTAACATCACATCACTCACATCACAGATGAGGCCTCACTGGGCCTCATCTGTAAAACAGGATTACTGATCTCTGATTACAAAGTTGCTCTCAGGATCAAATGAGTCAAGGGATATTAAAATATTTAAAGAACTGTAAAGTGGCATATCAACCCATTAAGTTAGCACTGTTATTTCCGATTTATGGGAAAACTTCTTAAGTATATATAGAGGTCTCATTTGAGACCAGAACACTGACTCAGTGTGAAATGATGGGTTTCCTGTATCCAGAATGACAGAATATTAATATTTACTATTTGTTTACTCTGTGCCAGGTTCTATTATGCTACGCGAACGTCATACCTGATCTAAGTCTCTCCAAATGCCTACTGCATGGAGTCCATAGTAATTTGACTCCATTTACAGATAAGGAAATTGAGACTAAGGAATGTTAAGCGATTTGCCCAAATTCCACTGCGGATCTATGACTGTTTCCACCACGTTGTACCACAAGGACACATCAACTAGACCTCCAGTCTAATAACGCATCCCACTGCCGGATGCCAGATTTTCCCTGCCTCTCTTTCCCCGCTCCCCCAGAAGACGACACCTTACAAGAGAGCTTCACCCGCCGTTCCTCCAACTCGCGTTGTGGGGCTGGAATAAAAACAAAAAAACTCACGGAGGGCACAATATGCACTAATTTGCGAGGCAGCACTCCCGCGGGGAGAGAAACCGGCCAATACCAGCCAGGCAGCGGAAAACACCCGCCACCGAGCTCAGCGCGGCGCGGGCAAAGCCACGAAAGTGGAATTCAAATCTCAACGGCCGCAAGGGACCCAATCGCGACTCTCGCTGCAGAGACCGGCCAATCAGAGCGCGGGAGCCGGAATGCTAGAGGAGGGCGGGACTTAGATTCCAGCTCCCTCCCCCACACCCCCGCCCTCGCGGCCGCCTCGTTCCCTACAAGGTCCACTTTTTCCGCGGTGCCTGCCGGAGGCGTCGAGTTCCTAGCTGAGCAGTGGCCGTGCCCCTAGGACAGTGACCCACTCAGTCACCCCCAGGACAGGAGCTGACAGTTAGAAGGCTTAGGCTCTAGTCCAGCTTCGGCCATCTCCTCTGCTATGTGACGTCCAGCAGTTCACTTCACTCCCTCAGCCTCAGATTTCCGCCCCGGTCGAATAGGGGGAATAAAAACAGCTATAGCGCAAAACTGCAGTGGGGCACAGAGAAAGGAAGCTCTGGGCTCCAGGTTCTGGACCTTCATGTCCCTCAGTGGAGGGACGTCCAAGGAAACAAGAATGGGTGAATTTTCTTGCTTGAAGTTCATTTTTGGGTCTCCCTAAACAAGGAGACGACACCCTCCGCTCTTCTAGCGCATTAACAACTTCCGGCGGGCAGAACGGAAGCGGCGGGGCGGGGCTTGTGGCTGGGAAAGGCGGGACTGGGGCGGGCCTTGAGCCCAGAGTTACCTGGGTAAAATACAAGATGGCTGCGTGCACTTAGTACCCGTGTGACCCCAGCGGAGAAGGTTCTGTTACCTCCCGGAAGGCCACGTCTAGCCCTCCCTCTAGTGCTCGTGCGGTGTTGCAGGGGAGAGACGAGAGCAATGGCAGGGAGCCTCTCTTGGGTGGCAGGCAGGTGCTTATGGGGCCAGGTGCCGCTGGCCTGCAGAAGTTTCTTTCTGGGTAAGTGGCTGATGCAGGACACCCCGAGAGCTGCTTCTCCTAAGCGGCTCAGATTCATTCTCTTTCTTTCCCATCCATAGGCGTTCCCAGATTGTTTCATGTAAGGGTCACCCTCCCGCCCCCCAAAGTGGTTGATCGTTGGAACGAGAAGAGGGCGATGTTCGGGGTATATGACAACATCGGGATCCTGGGTAAGACTTGACTCCGTGGTGCAGAATTTCAGAATCGCAGTTACGCTGTAACGACTGTTTTTTCACCTGTGTGGAAATGGTACCTTGTTGAATAGTAAGAACAAACACTTATCTGGCAGTTTACTTGGCACTCTTCTGTGTCCCCTGCATGCATTTAACACATTTAATCCTCATAACCTTTCTCCTTTGCAGGTAAGGAACTTCAGGCACAGTGAGGTTAGGTAGTTTTTACAAAGCTAGTACGTGGCAGTGCCAGAATTTGTACCCCAAGCAGTCTTGCTCCAGAATCTGTGCTCTTTATACTGTAGCCTGACTGTCGTGTCTGTAGGTGCTGCTGAGGGAAATGCAGCTGTTGGTGAGGGCTTAGCTGGTGGAGGTTGGGTTCTCTCGGATTGGAACTAATGCCTTCTGTTACATTACACAGGAAACTTTGAAAAGCACCCCAAAGAATTGATCAAGGGCCCTGTGTGGCTTCGAGGCTGGAAGGGGAATGAACTGCAGCGTTGTATTCGAAAGAAGAGAATGGTAGGAAATCGGATGTTCATTGATGACCTGCACAACCTGAACAAACGCATCAGCTTTCTCTACAAACGCTTTAATCGACATGGGAAGCACCGGTAGAAGAAAAAGCTGGGAACTGTGGAAGAGGCATGTCTATCACCAGAGAAAAGGGAAAAGTACTTTTCCTTATGAGGAAGGGGATTTGGATGCTGTCAGTGATAATGCAGGATTCCTTTGTAATCCATTATCCACAACTTTAGTTTCCTCTAAATGCAGTTTTACTCATTCATGCAAGGAGGAGGTGGAACTCATCCCTAAGTCTTACAGTTTTAGCTTTGGACTTCATCACTTGCCCTTGCAGTCTAGCCATACCTGTAGTGTTTAAAAAATAAAAAAATCATTGTTGGCACTTTTGATGTTTTTCCTTTCATATATTGAAAGTGGTCATTTTAAACTGTCCCATGGGGACTTCCCTGGTGGTCCAGTGGCTAAGACTCTGCACTCCCAACACGGGGAGCTCCGGGTTTGATCCTTGGTCAGGGAACTAGATCCTACATGCTGCAATTTAGACCCAGACCAGTTAAATAAACATTAAAAAAAAAAAACTGTCCCATAATGCCATGTTAAATGTATTTTTAAAAACTTTTCTGCACTGGAATGAAATATCATAGAAAAATAGTTGTACTTTTACACTATTCTTGTCAAAAAAATATTTATCGAGTACCTTTTCTGAGATGAGAATTATAGGAAAAACAGTATAAAATATTCTCCCCCCATGTTTTTCTAGTTACGGGTATAAAGTTATAGTCTCATATGTACACTTTAATATATGAGGCCTTAAGTACCATATGAGTGGTTCCTAAGCCTTATTGATCATCAGAATCTCTGCATAGTTAAACAGTTTAAAAAGTAGTCCCTGCCCCCAAAGACTGTGATCTTTAGAACTGAGCTGAGTCTTAAGTCTTTTTTTTTTTTTTAAATAATTAAAATGTATCCATCTATATAGACAGATAGTTCAAAATTGTAAAATTACAAAAGAGTAAGATGAAAAGTTTTCTCACAGCTGGGTTTTTTTTGTGTGCTTCGTTTCAAGGCAATCATGCATGACATTCTTTTTAATCCTCCTGGATATTAATATATACTGTGTGTGTACAAGATTGTTTTATCTATCTACCTATCTTCTTTCTGAAAAAGTAGATTTCATCCACATTAAGTTACATTTTCACTTAATGTAACTTAGATCAGTTTTTTGTCCTCACATTATACGCCATAATGATTTAACCAACTCCATTTTGATAGACATTTAGATTGTTTATCCGGTGGTGCAGTGATAAAGAATCTGCCTGCCAGTGTAGGAGACACAAAAGACAGGAGTTTGATCCCTGGGTCGGGAAGATCCCTGAAATAGGAAATGGCAACCCATTCCAGTATTGCCTAAAAAATCCCACAGATAAAGGAGCCTGGCGGGCTATAGTCCACAGGGTCACAAAGAATTGGATGCAACTAAGCATACATGCACAATAGTTTCTAGGCCTTTGCTTTGTCAAAGTATGTCTTCTCTGATTCTAGGGCATTCTCATTTTAACAGCCAGTTTATTTTGATGAGCTGTGTTTGGAAACCACCGATGTGGGTGATATATAATCTAGATAAGAGAATGCTTTTGGCCTAATAAGGAGTGGCCCCATACAAGAGGATGGATTTTAGTAAGCAGAGAAAGAAGTAGAACATTGCCAGTGAGGAAGAGAAGAGTGGTCAGTGGTACATGGTGAGGGAACACAATTTGTTGGGAGATGGCTGGGTGGGTCTAGCTGTAATGAACCTTAGTATGACACTAGCTGCTTTTTTGTGTTTTAGATAACTTGCTCAGGTATAAATCAACTTAAGTGTTTGACATTACTCAATTGAGAGGAGAAAAATATGCTACAGTTTCTAGAATTGTGTATTGATTAGGGTTAAATTGAGTGTCACCAGTGCCTAGTGCATGTGAAGTGAAAGAAATTGTGAAAGTGTTAGTCACTCAGTCGTGTTCAACTCTTTCTGACCACATGGACCATAGCCCACCAGGCTCCTGTGTCCATGGGATTCTCCAGGTAAGAAGACTGGGATGGGTAACCATTAAGTTCTCCAGGGGAATCTTCCCATCCCAGGGATCAAACCTGGGTCTCCTGCATTGGAGGCAGATTCTTTACCATCTGAGCCACCAGGGAAGCCCAGTGTTTGTGAGACTCTCAGTAAATATTTGCAAAATGAAATAAGGAAAGTATTTGATGTATTGTTTTTAAAGAGATCTTTTATGTGGGTTACAAGTGCTAGTTGTGTTTCTTGGAAGGATGTTTTAGGTTGATATGAGTAGTATAGTATAGTTTGGGGAGGGGCATATAGGGTAGCTCAGATGGTAAAGCGTCTGCCTACAATGCAGGAGACCCGGGTTCGATCCCTGGGTGGGGAAGATCCCCTGGAGAAGGAAATGGCAACCCACTCCAGTATTCTTGCCTGGAAAATCCCATGGACTGAGGATCCTGGTAGACTACAGTCCATGGGGTCGGAAAGAGCAAGTGTAAATGGTAATGACAGTCCTCTGGAGTGTGTGTAGGGCTTTGGAAAAATGGAAGAAGACAAGGGAAGACTTTACGGTCCCTTTACTTTGAGTCATCCAAGCCCCTGAACTCACATGTTTGCTTTTTGATCTTGCTTGGTTTTATATGTCTCTGTGTCCATCTTCCCCATTGACTAGGGCTCATCTTCATTCAGGGCAGGGACTGTCTTGCACACATTTGTTCACTGTTACTAGTCTCATGCCTGGTCTTTTTGTATACTGGCTCTTAATAGATCCTTGGTAAATATCTGTAGAAGTCACACATTCAACAGCCATTTATTGAAGGCTACCACTAGGTTCGAGGGATACAAAGGAAAAAAAAAAAAACCAACAACTGCATTTAAAGAACTCCTCCTAGTGCAGGAGGTAGACAAAGAAGCATAGTTACAGGGGGAGACGGGGAGGGAAAGGGATGACTGAGAGTTTGGGGATGGTAGATACAAACTCTTACACTTCAACACATTTAGGATGGATAAACAAGGTCCTATTGTGTAGCACACGGAACTATACCTAACCTCCTGGGATAAATCATAATGAAAAAGAATGTGTATAACTGAATCACTTTGATGTACAGCAACTAGACTTCAATAAAACAGGGCGAAAAAGCATAATTGTAAAATCTGTTATGGCATTTAAAGTATGTTAATTACCTGCTGTATAGGTACAGAGAAGAGGGACCCTTACCTCATCCTAGGGGAGCAGGAATGAAGGCAGGGAAGGCTTTCTGGAGGAGGCAGTTAACTGAGATACGGTATGGAGGTTAGCCTGCTTTCCAGGCAGATGAAACTGAAACAAAGGTCAAAGGTGAGAAACAGCCTGGCACATACGGGAAAGCTGTGAATGGCATTTGTTGGCAGAGCTAATGAGAAATCGGGCAGGAGATGGAGGCCAGAGTCAGATTATGAAGAAGACTAAAGAACTAAGGGGACTTCCCTGGTGATCCACTGGCTAAGACTCCATGGTCCCAGTGCAGGGGTCTGGGGTTCAATCCCTGGACAGGGAGCTAGATCCCATGTGCTGCAACTAAGACCTGGCACAGTCAAATGAATAAAAATACTTTTAAAAAATAAAATATATTTTAAAAAAGTAAAGAGCCATTAAGACTTAATCTTTAGTAAAATGGTGCAACCATTTAGGAAAACTGGCACTTCCACAAAAAGTTATATAGAGAGTTACCATATGACCCAGCAGTTCCTCTCCTAGGTATACACCCAAGAGAACTGATAACATAGTCACAACAAAAACTTGTAGACATGTTCATAGCAGCATTATTCAGAATAGCCAAAAAGAAGAAACAACCCAAATCTCCATCAACTGACGAATGGATAAACAAAGTGTGGTCTATGTATACAATGAAATATTACTCAGCTATAAAAATGAATGAGGGGGCTTCCCTCATTAGTAAAGAGTCCACCTGCCAATGCAGGGGACATGGGTTTGATCCCTGGGCCAAGAAGATCCCACTTGCTGTGGAGCAACTAAGCCTGAGCACCACAACTACTGTGCCCATGCTCTGGAGCCCATGTGCTGCAACTACGGAAGCCTGCATGCCCTGAAACTTGTGCTCTGCAATGAGAAGCCTGTGTACTGCAACTAGAGAGCAGCCCCCAATCACCGCGACTAGAGAAAAGCCTAAGCAGCGGTGAAGACCCAGCACAGCTGAAAATAAATACAATCATTAAAAAAAAATGAGGTACTGCTGTAACATTGAGGAACTTTGAAAGATAAAAGAAGCCAGTCATAAAGGCTACATATTGTATGGTTCGATTTATATGAAGTGTTCAGAATAGGCAGATGACAATAGACAGAAAGTAGATGAGTTGTTGCCAGGGGATGAGGTAAGGAGTGAGGGATGGGAGATGACTACCAACAGGTATGCTGGTTCTTTTTGGGTTGATGTAAGTGTTCTGGAATTGGTAGTGATAATTGCACAACCTTATGAATATACTAAAAATCGTGTGATTGTACACTAAATGTGTAGGTTCATATGGTCCATGAATCTTATCTCACTTTATGGCTAAATTAAGCTTTCTTTTTAAAAAAAAATCAGAGTAATACATGTACATATAGTTAATCAAAAAGAAAGGAAAGTTATATGACAAAAACAGCAATCTCCTGCCTTACCCATCTATCTTCCAAACTAGCTTCCCAGAATGAAAGGCTTTTACTTTTTTGAACTATTCTGTTATTTGTCATTATAATTTGAAATAAAATGCCCTCCTGCTCTTCATGGTTTAGCAGCTTTAGACATCTGTTAGCTTCCTGTTTTGAAAGATGAAGGTTTAATTCTTTGTGATGATCTTAGTCGATATAGAAAGGGGAAGTTACGTAATTCAGCTCCTATTTATAATTTTAAAAACCCAAAGAACAGAAGGACATTTCCTTAATTTGGTAAAGGTGACATCCTGGAGACCCACACCAAATATTGAGTGGATATATATTCCCTTAAGAGTGGGCTTCCCAGGTAGCTCAGTAGTAAAGAACCCATCTGCAATGCAGGAGACAAGGGTTCCATCCCTGAGTTGGGAAGACCCCCTGGAGAAGAAAATGGCAACCCACTCCAGTGTTCTTGCATGGAGAATCCCATGGACAGAAGAGCCTGGCAGGCTAGTCAATGGAGTTGCAAAGAGTCAGACATGACTTAGTGACTAAACAATTTCCTTATGATCAGCAACAAGACTAGAATGCCCTCTATTGCTGCTGCACTTTAATTTACTACTGAAGGTCCTAGTTAGTGTTATACAAAAAAAAAAGGGAGGAAGGGAGGAAAGAACAGAGGAGGGATGAAATTAAATAGATGTGAGAATTGGAAGGAAAGAGCAAACTGTTCATTTACAAATTGTACAATTTTCCTCTTTAAAACTCCCAGCTGAGTGGAAAAACACAATGAGATTTAAAACATGATATCATTTATGTAAATTAAAAATACACACATAGAAGACAGTACCCATTTTGCAAAAACACAAAATTATAAATATCAGACAATTTATAATGCTGTCTATGGCTGGGAAGGAGAATAAGGAAAAAGAACAAAAAATGAAACAAAATCTTTTTATGCATAGGTAGAGATCATTTGTCATGAACTGAAGAGTAGGATTAACTCTGCCTTCTGTACCTAAAGGTCCCCCAGAAGAAACGATGTTCTATTTTTGTCTTCAGGGTGATTCATGGTCTAAGAAATACTTGGATTTGTTTACTCCTGTTGGTTTCTTAAACTTATCAGTATTCATAACAAGTCAATCCCTTCTGGTATTTTTATCACGTGTATGTGATATATATATATATATATATATATATACATATATATATGTACATATATATATGTACAAAATTTGTATATATATATATATGTACAAAATTTGTTGATTGTTTTGGGAATCCAACATATGTACTAGTTCAAGACAGATTTATAAGTTTTCTGGGATTGCTGAATACAAAGTACCCTTAGTCGGGTGCTTAAACAACAGAAATGTATCCACTTGCCTTCCTAAGGCTAGAAGTCTTGAGACCAGCCATCACCAGGGTTGTGTGGGTGAATCTATTCCCTGCCTCTCTCCTGGCCTCTAGTGGTTTGTTGGCTGTATCTGGTGTTCCTTGGCTTATAGACATATCCTGCAGATACCTGCCTGAATGTGAATAAGGCATTTTCCCCGTGTATGTCTCTCCAAGCTTCCCCACTCTATAAGGACAGCAGTCATAGTGGAGTAGGGGCCCATTTTACACCAATATGACCTCATCTCAATTAATTATCTCTGCAACAACCTGAATCCAAATAAGGTCATATTCTAAGATCTGAGTGTTAGGACTTTCACATAAAAATTTTTGGGAGGAATGCAATTCAATTTGAGTCTCCCCAAGGCATTCTTATGCTTTTCTGTTAAAAATAATATTTATTATTTGTTTATTTTTGGCTGTGCTGGGTCTTTGTTGCTGGGCAGGCTTCTCTAGTTTCGGTGCTCTAGCTTCTCACTGCAGTGGCATCTATTGTTCCAGAGCACAGCCTCCAGAGCTCAGGCTCAGTAGTGGTAACACACCAGCTTAGCTGCTCTGCGGGATGTGGAATCAAACTCAAGTCTCCTGCATTGGCAGGTGGATTCTTATCCACTGGACCACCAGGGAAGTCCCTCTCCCCCTCTCTCTCTTCTTCAAATCTTTTAGGATCTTCTCTTTTCCCCTAATATTCTGAGATTTCACAAAGATGTGTCTTGACCTGATTCTTTTCCTTTCAGTATGCTAGGCACATGGTGTACTATTTAATCCAGAAAGACTTGTTCAAGTCAGAATTTTTTCCTTTGTATTTCTTTTGTAATATTTCTCCCTCATATCCTGTTTGCTCTTTGCAGAAGGCCTATTAATCAGATGTTGAACTATTTGGCTTGATTTTCTAAGTCTCTTACTTCCTATCTCCATCTTTGTTGGCTCTTGCTCCTGGTTCTTTGTTCCTTATTTGTTTCCAATTTTTGACCATGATTTATTTTTCTTGGAACTGTATCTGTGGAAATTCCCCAAGGCCTAGATCAAAGATAAACTCATCTAGAGAGAGGATTTGCATTGCTACAGCCGGTGCTTGATGGCACTGTCAACCTGGAACCATTTTAAGTTCTTGCTATTTTGTTTTTAGGACCAATAAGGAATTCAGACAGAAAAACCACAGCATTGATTATAAAGTGTCTGCGTATATTTATAAATATGTTTTTTATAATTTTATTTAGCATTTATTTATTTGGGCTGTGCTGGGTCTTTGGTGCTGCTCGGGCTTTTTCTCTAGTCATGGCAAGCGGGGGCTATTCTCTAGTCGCGGTGTGTTGGCTTCGCACTGCGGTGGCTTTTCTTGTTGCGGAGCATGGGCTCTAGGGTGCTCGGGCTTTAGCGGTTGTGGCATGTGGGCTCAATAGTTGCAGTTCCCGGGCTCTGGAGCACAGGCTCAGTAGTTGTGGCACACAAGCTTAGTTGCTCCATGGCATGTGGGATCTTCCCAGATTAGGGATGGAACTCATGTCTCCAGCATTGGCAGATATACTCTTTACCAGCAAGCCACTGGGGAAGCCCTGTCTGCATATATTTAAAAGAAAAAAGAAAAGTTCTCTAGTAGCTACCTAGGTTTCAGATGAGCAGATTTTCTATGTAGTCCCATAGGGGCAGTTCAGATATAGCATATTTTAAATTCACTCTTAGGTGAGAATATAGTCCTTTGGGGTTCTGACTTTATGGTAGGGCCTTCTATTAGATCTCCAACCCTACAAAGGCCCTGGGTTCTGGCTCCTATGCCACGGTGGCACCCTATGAAGCCACCATGCCTAAATTAAACGTTTAAGCAAATGCCCTCAAGGCAAAACAGGCCTCAGGGCCCAGTTACCTCTCCAGGTACCAGTGTTCACTTAGTCTTCTGGTCCTTAAATAGCCTACTTTCTTGCCAGCTTACATAAATGCCTTTTTAAAATGATCTTTTAGGCAAAGGATCTAGAATAGCTAAACCAACTTTGGAAGAGCACAATAAAATGGGAGAAATAATTCTACTTGATATTAAGGCTTACTGTTGCTACAATAATTAAGACAATGTGTCAGTGACAGAAGGACAGACACATAGATCAATGGAACCAGATAGAAAACCCAGAAATAGACCTGCACAAATACGCCCAGCTGGTTTTCCTTTGTATTTTTTTTTTTTTTTTTAAATTTTGGTGGCTCTTCTCTTCCCCAGCCAGGGATTGAGCCTGAGCTCGCAGCAATGAAAGTGCTGAATCCTAACCACAGGACAGCCAGGGAATCCCAGCCCAGCTGATTTTTGACAAAGATGCAAAAGCGATTTAATGGAGAAAGGGTTGCTTTTTCAACAAACAGTCCTGGAGCAATTGGACATCCATTGAAAAAAAAAAAAGGAACCCCGACCTAAATGTCACACCTCATACAGCAATTAACAATAAATGGATTATGAAACAAAATTATCTAACTCTTGGAAAATAAGATAGGAGAAAACTATGCGACTCTAGGGCTAGGCAAAGTGTGACACAGAAAGTGATGCATTAAAGGACAAGTTCATAAATCGGAACTTAACAAAATTAAAAATGTTTGCCCTATGAAAGTTCCAGTTAAGAGGATGAAAAGACAAAAGAAAGACTGGGAGAAACTATTTAGCTGACAAAGTACTTTATCTAGAATATTTAAATAATTCTTAAAACTCAAAGGCAAAAAAATAAACAACCTAATTAAAAAATGGGCAAAAGACATGAATAGATCTTTCAACAAAGAGGATATATAAATGGCAAATAAACACATTAAAATATGTTCAACATCATTAGCCTTTAGGGAAATAAAAATTTAATCCACAACAACATATCACTATATACCTATCAGAATGGCTAATTTTTTTCTTTTAAGTGACAACACCAAATGCTGATGAGGATGTGGAAAAACTAGATTCTTCACATGTTGCTGGTGGGAATCTAAAATGGTATAGCCATTCTGAAAAACAGTTTGGCAGTTTCTTACAAAACTAAACGTGTTTACTTTACCACCCAGCAATTGCACTCTTGGGCATTTATCTCAGAGCAATGAAAATTTATGTTCGTGCACACCTGCACATGGGCTTTCCCGGCAGCACTAGTGGTAAAGAATCTGCCTACCAATGCAGGAGACATTAGAAACTCGGGTTTGATCCCTGGGCTGGGAAGATCCCCTGGAGGAGGGCGTGGCAACCCACTTCAGTATTCTTGCTTGTAGAATTCCATGGACAGAGGAACCTGGTGGGCTACAGTCCATAGGGTCACAGAGTTGGACACTACTGATGTGACTTGGCACGATGCATGGCACAAACATGCACATGAATGTTCATGGCAGCTTTATCTGTAATAAGCCTAAATTGGAACCTCTCTGTACTTCTTTTTTTGCAACCTTATATGAATCTGGTGGGCATATTTAGCCATTCATGCTGTCAAGACCAATTTCTTCCATTCTATTTGTCTTTAAGGGTTTATAATTTGTTTTCAATTTTTACAAATTTTCATTTCGACGTAGTTTCAGAAGTGGGGCGGGATAAACACATATGATCAATGCATTATGTTTCTAATTGTTTAAAGTTTTTAAATAGGGTTGTGACATTTGGGTAGATCACCCTGGTGGTTTCTTAGAGGATGGTTATAACTGAGGGGCAAGATGAAACAGGAAGATACTATATTTCATTAATTTTAAGAGGCCACTTGGCACTTTTTCTTTTTTTTTCATTTGAACATATAAACTGGGATGTTTGACCAGAACTATTAGCCAGAACAGTCATACTGTATTTGTCATACTGGCTCATAAGAATCAAAATTTGCCAAATAGGTGTCTGAGGCTTGGAAGAAAATTCCAGAGACAGAAAAGGAACATTCCTTTAATGAATGCTGCATCACCAGGCCCTTGATGGCATGCAAAGAGAACTACATTGTGTGGAAATCATGCACATCTGAGTCAAAAAAATGAATCATAAAATTTGCTGTCTCTGAGGTTTCAGGAACACTGTTACCGTGTTACTCTTTTCTGTTTTCCTTTTTATGTTTTTCCATGGGAGTGAAGTATAAAAAAACCTATACCCATAGAAACATACACTTTCAATAAATATAAAAAATCGAAGTGAAAAAAAATCGAAGTGATAAGAAAGCATTATGTCACGGTTTACTTGCTACCTTTTTACTCATCGGGACATAAAGTAATAGTTTTACAACTAGTGGCATCCAAGTAAGAGATAATAATCTGAGTGGGACAGGGAGACAAGGGAAGAGAATACTTGAAATACTAAGAAGGAGAACTTGGTAAATTGTTAGAAGACAGGTGAAGATGAACGGGGAGGAAATCTAAGATAGTTTCCAGGTTTCTGGTTTGGGTAACGGAGTCTGCGTGGTAAACTACCTGGGATGGATAGGAGGCGCAGGTTTGGGAATAGGGAGCCAAAGTTACGTTGCGTGAGGGGCTTGTTGGTTGTGTAGATCGGATGACAGGAGCTCTGGTATTTACTTTGGCGCCGGGAGCCTGCGGCTCTGCCTTGATGGATTCAGCCTCTTCAGAGCTGTCTGTCAAAGGCAAGGAGATGAGGTGTAGATCGGCAGGGTGCGGGTACCTGGGCCCTGCCTAGATCGCCGAACACCCGCAGCTCCCAGGGCTCGGGAGTCCTGGTCCGGGAGAGCCGGGGGCCCGCCCATCGCTGTCAGAGGAAGCTGCGTGATTGGCTGGAGACCGGGCCGTGGGCGGGCCCGGACGCGAGGAACTGCTCAACGATTGGCTGGGAGGCACCAAAAAAGGTCCAATTCAAACTACTGGAGCCGCCTTTCCAAAGGGTTGGCGCCGAGTTCCACCCCACCCCTTCGCTTAGTTAGACAGGTAAGCAAGCCAGAGTTGTATTGGTCAGATCCTCCCGGTGCAGCTCCTTTCCAGAATCAGAATGAGAAGAGAGCTGTGATTGGCTTATTTTCTGGGGCGGGCACTCTAGGCCTTGTCCGGCCTTCGCTTCGGGGACTAGCGCCCGTCCTGGGCATGGATTGGGCTGCAGGGTTGTCAGCTTGATCCGGGAGGCGTGGCCAGCACTGATAAAGACTGGGGCCGGCGCGGCAACTGCAGTAAGTTCCACAGCAGTTAGAGCTCCGGTGGGCAGCCAGAGGCGGAGTTCGGAGGTGCGGGCGGCTTCACCGCAGCGTTTCCCGATCGGGTGTCTAGCCGCAGACTCCGGAGAGGAAACGGTCCTCTCATCCTTCTCTCGGTGACATGTGAGTTGACTCTGATGTGGGGGGCGCGACACCTCGTTGGCAACTCTCACCCCAGCGCCGGACTCTGCGGGACCGAAAATGGCGCATTGCAGCAGCTGCGGCGGCGCGGGGAACCACCGCTGCGCGCCGCCCCCGGGCCGGGCCATCCTCCCGGGAGGGGAGGCGGCACCCCATTCCTGCACTAGCCGCAGCCGGCACCGCACGGGCGCGGCCGGGGCGCGGTGGTCCCACATTCACTGCCCCCTCTCCCCTCGCCTGCGGGACTCCTCAGTCGGGTCTCCGGCGAAGGTGGGGCGTGGAGACACCCGAGAGGGGCTCCAGGCTCTTTCTTGTCACTGATCAAGGCGGTACTTAGGGCTTCTGGAAGGACAGTCATGGGTGCACCTGCCAGTTAGTTGCTTGGGTTGCTCTGCAGCGTCTGCATTTGTGTACACCCCTCAACCCGATCGCAATGAGCAGCCGCCTCTTGGTAGTGAGCAGAGCTCCAGAAACTTGTCTGCCAGTTCTCTGGTGAGCAGCTCACAAGGACTCCAGGGGCAGTGGTATGCGATTCCGAGCAGCCATTCATCCCAAGGCCACCCGTAGAGGAGGTGTTTTCCTGTCAGTGAGTCTTAGCCAAGTATTTGGAAGAGAGATAGAGCTGGGGACCACCCCTGCACCTCCACCTTCCCTTAACACATTATGTTTAGTCTCTAATAATCAATTTAGTCATCTGGTCATGGTCATCCCCATATCAATATCCTAAGGGAGAACTATAGCTAGACAAGTGGAAGAACTTCCCGTTCTTGCACAGAGTCCTGCCCTGGTCCTAGATGTATTCATGTTGCTTCTCTTGATGACAAAAAAAGGGAAAGATGTACTTATGTTACATAAGGCTTATAACTAGCCTTGGATATGTTATTCCTGCGTGTTCCCAACTCCCAACAAGTAGCAAGTGAAATGGTCCCTTCCAAAACTTTGTAACTATTTGTATTTGATTTCTACAGTTTTAACTGTATATGGTAGTTTACGTGTTTTGGCCAAGCCCCAGGATGCTCTGGGTTTTCATTTTGGGCAGGGGGAGCCTTCTCTGCTGATTGGTTCCCAGTAGCATCCATGTGGGATGAAGGAAGGAGGTGAGGAAAGCATAGTGACTAGAAGGGTGTCACGAGGTCTCTGACCTTAATCTTGTCATTGGTGCCACCAGCCTGGACCACTTCCAAGACCAAACACCGGCTGCTTCCTACTCACTGAATTTTCCACTTTCATCAGAGAACTAGATTGCTTAGCTCAGTAGTAGCAGAGGAGTCTAGTGGCTTCCAGAGCTCCATATCTTTCCTTTGCCTCTTTTGTGCCTTGAAGGGAAATGGGAAAACAATTCTTTTAACTGGGATGAGTCAAGTGTAATCTGCTAAAATAACCTTTCTGAGGGGTTATTCTCTGTCTCTTTAGACTGAAATTTACTTAGAGAGGAGGAACTTTCTGGGTATTAGTTCTATTGTGAATAGTCAAGGCTTTTCCTTTTTGGTGACTTTGTGATGGTTCATCCGTAGTACATTTACTCTTGGACTGCTCTGATGAGGTGTGCTTTGTGAGATTCTGCTTCTGTTTGAGGAGTTCTTGTAATTTCTCTTCTCCAACAAATTTGAGTAATTTCTCTCCTACCTGTGAGTTCTTCCTTGGCAGAGAACATCTCACGCCTTAGGTTAGACTTTTGAAAATTCTTTAGGATATGAATTTAGCTTCCATGTGTTGGGAGACATGGAGCGGGATTTATTTGGAGGACTCCATGCTTGATGGTGCTTCCTTGGTGGCTCAGATGGTAAAGAGTCTGCCTGCAATGCAGGAGACCTGGGTTCGATCCCTGATTTGGGAAGATCCCCTGGAGAAAGGAATGGCAACCCACTCCAGTATTCTTGCCTGGGAAATCCCATGGAGAGAGAAGCCTGGAGGGCTACAATCCATGGGGTTGCAAAGAGTTGGACACAACTGAGTGACTAACACTTTCACTTTTTTCATGCTAGATTATTCCCCCACCCTAAGGCTAAGGGAGAAAGAAAGTGGTCTCTGTATATATTCAGTGTAAACCAAGAGTTCTCTTTGGGACATAAAGAACTAGGAGAGTTTCCTAGACTTGATGCCAAATCTAGAAAAAGAAGGAACAGAATGTCCCTGATGCCTATACATTGAGAACTGTGTCTAGTATTTTGTTTCCTGCCTAGGCTCTTGAAACAGTCTCACAATTAACACAATTGCTTTGGGCCCTGGTTCTAAGTGAACCTCCAACCTTCTCTGCCAAAAAATGAAGCAAGCAAACAGTTCTGACTCACTCCAACTACAGAGGCCTTTGATGATTCTCCAAGTCATTCTACAGTGGCCATGATATACTGTAATCACTATGTGAAACATACCAATAACTGACTCCCCTTCAACAGTCTGTCTGCTTGGCCTTTATTTTTATATTCAGCCTTTGCAAAAAAAAAAAAAAAAAGAGCTGTTAGTCTGTACGCTTGTCCTGAGTGCTTGTTCAGTTGCTCAGTGATGTCTGACTCTTTGCAACCCCATAGACATTCTCTGTCCATGGAATTTTCCAGGCAAGGCTACTGGAGTGGGTTGCCATTTCCTTCTCCAAAGCTTGTCCTGAAGGTTTAGTTTCCTTTACATATAATTCTCCTAACCTGGATTGGAGTTTTCCAGGTTGACTTCTGGCAGGTAGAGAAATGACATTTAGGCTATGGCTGGTCCATTTGTCCCTGTAGCCATTGTGCCAGAGTATGCGTTTGAGTTTGGGTCAGAGGACAGCCCAGACGAGAGCTCTTGATGCCATCCTCCAACCAGCGTGTCACTGGGCCCCATCAGTTGCAAGATCTTTCGTTTTTTGCCTTGTGTCTCTGTATCGTATCTCCCCACTTGGCATTGCCAAGGAGCTAGACCCCTCCTGTTTGCGTATAACCTTATTATTACCACTGCCTTGGTATGGTGGGGTGAGAATGCTCTGGATTCCTTTCTTGTCTCACACACTCTGTGCCCTTCTCTCCAAAGGTCTGCTCCAGCTCAGCCACCCACTGAAGGGGCAGAAGGGGCTGCCCCAGGTGGGGGTCCCCCTGGCCCTCCTCCTAATATGACCAGTAACAGACGACTACAGCAAACCCAGGCACAAGTGGAGGAGGTAGGTGGATAGCTTTTCTCCGAGAGTTTCCAAATCATGGGAGTCTGGAAACTTCACTTTATGTAGAGGGGCAGCTCACGGCTCTGGGAGGCAGGGCACCCTGTAGAGTTAGGCAGGGCAGCCTTGGAGTGCTCTCCCCAGCTCGGGGGGAGCTTAGCCGCTCTGTGTTCCCATGCCCTGCTCAGGTGGTGGACATCATGCGTGTAAACGTGGACAAGGTCCTAGAGAGGGACCAGAAGCTGTCAGAGCTGGATGACCGAGCCGACGCTCTGCAGGCAGGTGCATCACAATTTGAGAGCAGCGCTGCCAAGCTAAAGAGGAAGTACTGGTGGAAAAACTGCAAGGTGAATGTTGCCGTCCCCTCCCCGTTATTTTCCTGGGTCTCAACGCACAGGAGGCAGGAAAACCCTCAGGTTCCACATCCTCTGCGGAATGTGGAATGGTTCCACATCCTCCGATGGCTCCTCTCTTGGGAGGAAATCTTCTTAAGCTGCATTACCTGAGCTGGCCACCAGGGTACGCTAGAGTACTCAGAACCACTCACTGGGGGCCCTGGAGACTTTGAGGAGTCTGGAGGGGTTAGTCAAGCTGCTTTTTCCCAGAGGACCCCTGCAAAATTCTTACCTGTCCCTTCCAGAGACACACCAATGTTGACACAATGGCTGGGGTAGATACATATTTAAACACCTGCAGCTCTTGGGGAATGAGCTGAACACTTTATGATGAACAATGAACCAGATGACTAAAGGTTCAAAGTTTGCATCTCCTATGATGTTCCTTTGAAAGCCTCCAGGTTACAGGAAGAGGGGAAAAGGAGAAGGCTGCAGATGATCTGACGTTTTCGAGAAGCTCCAGCTGTGGTGGAGGGGTTACTGTCTGATTGGGGGTGGGGTGGTACATGGGGGGTTGGGAGGCTTCCAGCTGTCCTGGGGGCTGTGTGGCTTCTTCCACTGTTCCCCAGGACTGGGACGGTGCTGCTTTCGCGTCCCCAGCCCTGGGCTCCTTCCCTCCTTCCCCGAACCCAAGGGCTCACTCTTTGTCCATGTTCCCCCAGATGATGATCATGCTGGGAGCCATCTGCGCCATCATCGTGGTAGTTATTGTAAGTAAGTATCGCTGAGGTTGCTGGTGGGGTGAAGAGGTGGGAAGGTCCTGGAGTCTCCTCCCAGCCTTGCCTGCCTGCCTGCCTGCCTGGGGAGTGGGGCTGCTCTGACTGAGGTACGGAGATCAGATCACTGCCAGGGCGGTGGGGAGGGTCATCATTGGGTGTGGGAGGGCAGAAGGGGCTTCCTGGATGGACAAGCCTTCCCTCTGCAGGACTGTGGGGGACTGTGGTCCCTCCTGTTCTGAGGAAGTGGGGCTATGCTCTTGTCACCGGCATGGGTTGGAGGGTGACTGTGGGGATGGGACTCCTGCAGCCACACGTGGTGTCTAGTAACCTGATGTCATGTGCCCTCTTGTTGTCTCCTGTCTCTCTCTCTTTGCCATCCGGGACCTCCCGATTCCTGTGTCCAGTCTACTTTTTTGCTTGAGAACGTGCTGCCCCGTCCCTGTTCCCCCCGGCCATCTGAACTCATGTCCCTCTCTCCCTCCGTCTCTCCCCGGCGCTACCCCATCCGCCTTCCTCCACCCCAGCCCCGCTTCGCCATCACCCACTCCTCCTCTTTTGTTGCTTTCATTTGCACGCGGTCCCACGACACCGGAAATGCTGCTCATGGTACAGTCTTGAGGTAACTGCCTGGTAAACAACAGCGGGCATCTCCTTCCTCCCCCATCACGCTCTCAAGTTCCCCCAAAGGGCTGGAGGTGGAGGGCCGAGGAAGGGGCGGAGCTGAGGTGACATGCCCAAGAAGGGGCCAGAACTGGGGGGAGGAGAAGAGGCTTCTGCTGGTGGTGTTGCCAGGAAAGGCCAGGCCGCTGGCAGGAGGAGGCTGGGGACAGCTGGGAGAATGTCCCTCACCTGGAGTTCTTCTCTTGGGCCAGGCCTTGGAAGGGAGCCTGGACTGGGCCTGCAGTCCAGCCTGGGCCTGGTGCAGGATGCCTTAAGAAAGTCAAGCCTGTTTTTCAGAGGGATGTCCCATCCGTTACTCTTAAGATTTTCTGTCTTCAGGGATCTTACCACCTTTTACTTTGTCCTCCAGTGACCTAGAGGATACATATTCATAGCGAAAAAATGCCAGGACTCCCATTCCCATCCTGGAAGCAGTCCTGCCAGCTCACACCTGGACGGGGCGTTTGTCCACGTTTTCTGTTTTCTGCACCATTCTGTGTTATTCGTGAGGGCTCAGATAATTTCATTAGCCAGAGTTTGAGACTTTCACTGAATTTTACTGGCATATATAAAGAGAGGATGCCTGTGGGTTATAGAGACACAGCAAGTCCAGGGCCTAACCCGAAAATAACAAGCCTGGAGGAAGTCACTTCTCACCCTCTTGTTCTGAGGTTCCTGTTGCTCTCTCCTGTTGATGGAGGAGGATGAGGGGCTAGAGGTGAGGAGCCCTGGACCCTTGGGGAGTCCTTACCCCCCAATGCACCCCCAGTGAACTTGCTAAAGACAAAGGGGGCCCGGCCATGCTTTGAGTGCTGAGGGAGCCCAATGCCTGCAGCACCCAGCCCCAGGGTTGAGGTGGATGTCAACAGACAGGCCTGCTTGTGGGTCCTGTGCCGCCTCGGGGCCTCCCCACCTAGAGTGGCCTCTGTTCTTGCCGCAGTTCGTTCCCCTCCCAGAGTACCCCGTCCACCTGGACTCCACGCTGCCTCCTCCCCTCCCCACTGCTCTGTTGCGCGGCCTGTCTCAGGGGCTAGGGCTGGGCCTCAGGAAAGGCTCTAAGTGGGCCAGACCGGGTGTGAGAGGCGGAGGGCCCACCAGGTCCCCTCATGCCTCCCGTCCAGCCGTCCGCCAGCGGGAGGCGGCAGGGGGCCAGGCTGGGCTGGCTGGCCCTCCATGCAGTAGCATTTCACGACGCACAACCTCCCTGCCTCTCCCTCTGCCCCGACCCCACCTTCCCCTCGTCCTGCCCCAGGGTGGGACGGAAGAGCTGGACGAAGGCAGCCAGTGTACCCCCCTCACGGCCCCCCTCGAAGGCCTCCACTCTCCCCTGGGCTCCTCTTGCCTAACGCAGGGGGTCACCGCCGGAGAAGAACCACCACTGGCCTCGATGTATCCCAAGCCTGGAGCAAACCTGCCCTCCTGGGCCGCCCCGTCACAGGAAATCACTTCTGGGTTCTGCCCTGTCTATCCCAGAGGTAGTTGGCTCTGTGCTTCTGGGGACGCAGCCCTCCTACTGTCTTTCTCACCCCGCCTGTCCCCTCTTCTGTGTCTTCGCTGTCTCCACCCCCGCACCCCACAGCCATGTGTATGAGCACATATGCAACTGGGGCTTGGCAGCCATGTGAAGCCGAAGCCCCACAGCCCTCGGTTTGCCGTGAGACGGTGCGAGGTCTCCACTGTGTGTCTGTCATCACCTCTCTGTCTTTTTTCCTAACCCCACTCTCCTCCATGTATAGAATAATCACAGATGTACTTCCACCAAAGGCATGTGGCATATTCACCAATTTCCTGTATTCTGAACAAAGGCCAAAAAATACAGCTTCCTACCACTAAAGCGACTCGACTGTTGTTTGGGCTTGGAGTGACCTCGGCGGGGCGGAGGGTGGTGTTTCTCTTTGGTTCCCTTCCCACGGTGCTTTGGGCCGGAAGGATGGCTGACGTGTGCCATCGTCTTCTCGAGATGAAAGGTCTGGGCGTTGGCAGAGGAAGTGGTCTCTGCTCTCAGCCTTCATGCCTGATGCCACCCGGCGGCTCTTCCGGGTGTGAGTGACAGGAACCCGTGGCAGGAAGCTGAGTGGCATCTCACCGACAGACACCTGCAGGTCTTCTCAGACAGCTGCCGCCATCTCCCCCTAGGTCCTGAGCCAGGCCCTGGGGGACGCGCTCTGCTCCCCACAACCCTCACGCACAGCCATCTGCTGTCAAGTCCAGTGTACTGACCAGACCCGTTTTAGAAATGACTAAAAGGAGCAATCTCTCCCCTGCAGCTGAGGGGGTGAGTGGCATGTAGAGTCCTAAAATATCCAGCAGCCATCCAAAGGGGCAGGAGCTTAACCACAGCTCAGCGTTACACACAGCAGCTGAGACGGGGCCCTGGGGGCCACCTCTGAGGGTCTCTGTTTCACATCTCGGACACTTGGCAGGTACAGTAGCAAGCCTTGGAGGCGGGGCCCCAAGTGGGAAAAGACAGGGAAGTGGAGAAGCTTTGCTTCCAAGGACATGAGGGGCTTTTATTTGGACAGAGTTCAGTGACTGTGTGTGTTTGTCCAATTCCCACCCTGTTCCACTGTCCTTCCCCTGATCTTTTCTGAATTTTTTTTTCTGGCATCTTTTCCAGCACCACACCTCTAACCTCCAAGCTGGCTCAGGTCTCAAGCTCTACCCAGACCTCTGCCTTCCTGCCACCCTGCCACCTCTCCACGCTCTCTGCCTTGGTATATCAGTCCAGGGTGCGCAGTGAAGGAGGGCAGGGGCCTGCAGAAATCTGGAGTCAGTGATCCATGCCTTCTTTTTAGTTTCCTTGGGGCCTTTTGGAGTCCGGGACTCGGCTCAGAGCCCTTCTGGGAGAATGTGAATCTCTTACATTTAAGGCAGGAGAGCGGCTACCCAGAGTGCCTCAAGGTTTTGGGAGACCTTGGTGAGGTAGCTAGGAGGAAACAGGAGGGAACGAGATTGCTGTCAGTGGGGTAACCCCAAGAGCTGGGGTTTTTGGGCTGGCTTTATTCCTGGTCTGGGCGTGGCAGTGCTCAGAGCATTTGATCTCTGAGGGCAGTCAGGGATAGAACCTATGGTGCCCAGGCGCTTTCTTACCTTGGCGTCTCTGCAGCCCCAGGAACAGCAGGGTCAGGACGAAGAGGATGCTGGCCAGAAGGACTCCCAGGGCTGACTTCTGCTCTGCAGCTGACAGAGGTGTGGAGGGAAATCAGTGGCAAGAATCATCCTGAACCCTCACCCACAGTGTGTGCATACAGAAAGGAGAGAGCATGCTCTGTGTGTGTGTGTGTGTGTGTGTGTGTGTGTGTGTGTGTATGTGTATGTGTGTGTGTCCCTGGCTGAGGAGCTCCTATCAGCTGCTCTCCTGCCCTCACCCAGGGACCAGGCACATGGGGCACTCGGAACTGCTGGGGGTGGATGTCCACCTGTTATTCCACACAGAATCCTCTATCTCTTCCTACCTCGTGACAACAGTTTTCCAAACTGTCTTGCAAGAGAGATTTAGTTTGGGTTAGCAGTTGACCCTGATGCTGGGAAAGATTGAGCGCGGGAGGAGAAGGGGGTGACAGAGGATGAGATGGTTGGATGGCATCACCAACTTGATGGACATTGAGTTTAAGCAAGCTCCGGGAGTTGCTGATGGACACGGAAGCCTGGCATGCTGCACTCCATGGGGTCACAAAAGAATCGATCACAACCTAGCAACTGAACAAAGTTGTTGACAGTTAAGCTGCAATTTTGTAAATAACTGGGGAGCAATGTTCAGTTCAGTTCAGTTTCTCAGTCGTGTCCGACTCTTTGCAACCCTCTGGACTGTAGTCCGTTACTCATCTCTAAAATGGGAGCTGTGAGAATGTGTGCTGGCTCACGTCTGAGTGCTCAGCGCAGTGCTAGCTCAGTCCTGAATAAATACAAGCACCTCTCAAGCTTCGTGGCCACAGACCCCTTCCTCGCACGCCCTTGCCCCTAGCCGTGCAGGCCCCGGTTCTTTTAGGCTGTTCTATAATGAGGCCGTCACATGCGCGTTCCTTCTGTCCTGGTGTTCCTGGCCCTCTGAGCCTCGAAGGCCTCCCCCTACCCCGGGGGGGGTCATCTGCCCTGATGGCCTAGTCTGTCCCTCCAGCTCCTCGAGGGCAGGATGAGGGACTGCTCAGCCCTGGTTTCCAGCTCTCAGCAGTGCCTGCTACCCCAGGACCCAGGGGATAATAAAAGACTCGGGGGACATGTGGTTGGACCTCTGGAGGCCCCCACCTTGGGAAAGCAGCAGCTGAGACCATGGGAAGCAGAACTAGACCAGAGGGCAGGAGGCCTGAGCACAGGTGTGGAGGTGGGGAAAGGAGAGCACTGTCATACCTGGTGGGGCAACCCAGGTGTGGGCCCCCAGGGGTTCCTCCAGGGAGATATGGGTGACCTGGCAGGTGTAGGTGGCTCCCGCAGGGCCAGGCTCTGCCGTCAGGGAGGAGGAGATGCTGTAGGTGCCGGCTGGGCTCTGCCGGAGGCTGGAGAGGTAGGCGCCAGAGACGGGGGCCGGGGAGCCACCCTGCTCCTCCCGGGTCCAGGTCACAGACACATCCAGGGGGTAGTAGCCAGCAACACTGCAGATGAGGGTGGCTGGCGGGGCTGCGTTCACCAAGCTCAGTCGTACTTTGGGGGAAGCTGGAAGAAAGGAGGAGCGATCAAATCCCACAGGGATCACCGGGACAGCAGAGGAGCCTGGCGCCTTCTCCTCCTGCTGAGCATGAGAGCAGGTTGTGGGGGTGGAAGGTTTCTACGCAGTGAGGTGTGGGGTACATCCTGGAGGCAGGACATAAAGGGGCATGATTCCCACAGGTCACTGAAAAACAACAGCAAAACCAGCTAGAGACTGGCTTGCTTCTTAGCATCACTATCAACCAGTGATTTTTTTTTATTTTTTTGAATTTTTTTTTTTTGTTTTTTTTTTTTTTTTTCATTTATTTTTATTAGTTGGAGGCTAATTACTTTACAATATTGTAGTGGTTTTTGTCATACATTGACATGAATCAGCCATGGATTTACATGTATTCCCCATCCCGATCGCCCTTCCCACCTCCCTCTCCACCCGATTCCTCTGGGTCTTCCCAGTGCACCAGGCCCAAGCACTTGTCTCATGCATCCAGCCTGGGCTGGTGATCTGTTTCACCATAGATAATATACATGTTTCAATGCTGTTCTCTCGAAACATCCCACCTTTGCCTTCTCCCACAGAGTCCAAAAGTCTGTTCTGTACATCTGTGTCTCTTTCTATTTTGCATATAGGGTTATCGTTACCATCTTTCTAAATTCCATATATATGCGTTAGTATACTGTATTGGTCTTTATCTTTCTGGCTTACTTCACTCTGTATAATGGGCTCCAGTTTCATCCATCTCATTAGAACTGATTCAAATGAATTCTTTTTAATGGCTGAGTAATATTCCATGGTGTATATGTACTACAGCTTCCTTATCCATTCGTCTGCTGATGGGCATCTAGGTTGCTTCCATGTCCTAGCTATTATAAACAGTGCTGTGATGAACACTGGGGTGCACGTGTCTCTTTCAGATCTGGTTTCCTCAGTGTGTATGCCCAGAAGTGGGATTGCCAGTGATTTTAAATGTGAATGTAAGGTAACATAAGAAAGTCGCTCAGTCGTGTCCGATTCTTTGCGACTCCCTGGACTATACAGTTCATGGAATTCTCCAGGCCAGAATATTGGAGTGGGTGGCCTATCCCTTCTCTAGCAGATCTTCCCGACCAAGAAATCGAGCCGGGCCTCCTGTGTTGAAGGTGGATTCTTTACCAGCTGAGCTACGAGGGAAGCTTTGAAACAGTCCTCCCCAGGGCCGGGCGGGGGGCACCCTCTCTGGTGGGTCAGTGGTAAAGAATCCACCTGCCAATGCAGGAGACACGGGTTCGATCCCTAGTCTGGAAAGATTCCCCGTGCCATGGAGCAACTAAGCCCATGAGCCACATCTAGTGAGCTCTTGCTCTAGAGCCTGGGAACCACAAATATTGAGCCCATAAGCAACAACTACTGAAGTTCGCATGCCCTGGAGCCTGTGCTCTGCAACAAGAGAAGCCACCACAAAGAGAGACCTGTGGAGGGCAACTAGAGGAAAGCCCAGGGACCCAGCACAGCCATCAGTAATAAATGAAAAGAAACAAAAATTTTTTAAAATTAATAACAAGAAAAAGATACAATCCTTCCCGTCAAGACTGCTCCCACAGCCCCTCCTGGGTTTGTTGCTGCTCCTCCTTAGGACGTGGTCCAGAAGGACTGGGGTGACCAGAGATAGCCAGCTGGGGCAGGGCAGCAGGGTCTTGGGCTGGGACACTTCTCAGTGGAATTATCCTAGAGCCTGATGGGAAACTGAATGGAATTCTCCGAGAGCCTGATGGGAAACTCAATCTGATGCCATCCGTGCTTCTAGGATGGAGAAGGCACTCAGGTTGTGGGAATGCAGTCTGCCTCTCAGCAAAGTGCCCCTGTGTTTGATCCCATTCCGGAAAACAATCTCATAGGCATATTCCTTTCCCCTTCTGCAGCGTCACTGACCCTGGCCTTACCTTGGATGTAGAGCTGGATGACCTGTTGAGCTCGGAACAGGGAGGTGGTGATCTGGCAGATGTAGGCCCCCTCATCCTGTAGAGTGAGGCTGGGTAGCGTGAGGGAGGCATCTCCAGCTGTGAGCAGCTGCTCAGGTTCCAGGGTGGCACCCTCCCGCTTGGCCTGCCCCTGCCCTGTGGTCCAGTGGTATACCAGCTGGCCACTGCCCTTATGCTGCAGCCGCCACTCCACGCTGGTAACGTCCAAACCAGGTGCCACGGAGTAGCCACAGTGTAGGGAGGCTGTGGACCCCAGCAGGAAATTCAGGGATGGCGTCTGTGTGGTCACCTGGAACTCCACTGTGGGAGAAAGTGAAAAGTGTTAGTCACTCAGTCGTGTCTGACTCTTTGAGACCCCATGGACTATAAGCCTGCTAGACTCCTCTGTCCATGGGATTCTCCAGGCAAGAATACTGGAGTGGGTTGCCATTCCCTTCTCCGGGGGATCTTCCTGACCCAGGGATCAAACCCTGGTCTCCTGCATTGCAGCTGGATTCTTTACCATCTGAGCCGCCAGGGAGAAAGAGGGGTGATTGTGGGCTGCTCCCTCCTTAAGGCCACCTGACCCCTGAGCTGTGGCACACCCGGGGCGTGTTGAGAGACAGCGTGCACATGTGGTACTCTTCACCATTTTGGAGTCACTTACCCCCTGCACAATCTGATGAAAGTTATGGACTAGACGAATTACACATGCAAAAGTATGGGTTACCGTGGACCCTCAGGTAGGAGGGAACTCCTGGAGCAGCCGGCAAAGCTTTTGGAAGCCTGGTTCTAACACTTACTGGCTCTGTGACCTAGGGCAAGCTACTCAGTGTTGCCATGTGCATGTGCTTAGGGCAAGGCTGCTGAGAAGACGAAAGAAGCCAGAGCTTACAAAAGCACATGGTGGGAGGCAAGAGGTAGGGGTGTAAAAAAAAACAAAAAAAAAAACAAAAAAAAAAGCACATGGTGGTGAAATCTGAGCCAAACATGCTGAACTTCAGTCTAATGAGGAAAAAAAAAGACAACTCCAAGTGGTGGGACATCTACAAGACAGCAGCCGGGACTCAGAAACATCCAGGGGGACTTCCCTGGTGGTCCAGTGGGTACGACTCCACACTCCCAATGCAGGGGGCCTGGGTTCCATCCCTGGTTGGGGAACTAGGTCCTACATGCTGCAACTAAGACCTGGCACAGCCAAATAAATAAATTAAAAGAGAGAGAGATAGTGAACAAATTTTGTGGGCCTATGTTCCACTCTCATCTTGAAACACCAGATCAGGCTAGCTGCTCCCTGGGAGAGGCTGGTACTCAGCTCATGAAGGCAGCTGTGGACAGCACATGTGAATAGAATATCACATGTCTGAAGTCCTCAGGTCACCCAACCAGGTGAAAATCATCCCCCTTTGGGGTCTTTGGAAAGAAGAGACTGAGGCCTAGGGAACCCCCTGAGATGACCGATGTGCATGGAGGTGGTCTTGTCCCCTCCCTTCTCCTACTAGTCCCCCATCTCTGGCCCCTTTAAAAAAAATCAAAACTTTCTGCTACTTTTCATTTTCTTACCTGCAGTCCGCACCGTCCCCTGGGGGCTTAGGGGCAGTTTCAGTGTGGGATGCAAGACAGCCTCATTCTCAGCATCCTCAAGAGTCTTCATCACCATGGAGACACCAGGTCCCCCTCCAGATACCTGCACGTTGGTGATGAACCAGGCTGCCATCTCCATGGTGGCCTCTGGCCTGGCCTGGAGGAAATAGCGGGAGATCTCACAGGTCACCTCCTTCCCACTGCAGTCGGCGTGGAGCAGGGCCTCGGCCTGGGGAATCTGTACTGGGTTCACTGTGGAGAGAAGAGGGCAGCACAGATACGGGGTTGGGTAGAGAATACCTGGGCTGATGGGAAGCCAGTGTGGGCGGGTCTACTTGGGAACCAGACTCAGGAACTGGAGGGAGCCCAGAAGGACTGGGGCACAGGGTGGAGGGCTAGTACCTGAGGCCTCGAAAGTAATGAGTGGGTCGTCCTTGGCCAGTGTATCCACTTGGAAATTCGTGAGGCCTTCCAGGGAGCCATCATCTGGCACTGGTACCTGCCTCAGCACCAGCACGGCCTTCACCATGTTCTCACTGCTGGCAAACCCTCCATGGTGCCCACCTTCTTCCATCAGGAAGCAGTCCAGGACCACGTCCACTGCCTGCCATTGCCTTTCTGCTGCAGGGAACAGGCTGGTGTGAGCACCCTCTTGCTCAGAAAGTTACTCCTATACTTACTCCCTGCCCAAAACTGCCAAGTCATCAAGGGTTAATCTTTCTGGTCCCTAGCTACTCTTCTGTTTTACCCTAAGGCAGCTTTCTGAGCAGCACCTGCCTCTCCAGGTACGCACTTCTTGGTGTAAATTATTTCAAGTCCTGGATTTCCCTTGCTCCAGAGGGATTTATGAAACTCTTATTTCCAACAACCCATGAAAAGCTCTCTCTTCCATCAAAAGAATTCTCAGCAAAAGGAAACGAATGAGCAAAGCTGCATTGGGGGAGAAGATGAACCCGGTTGTTGGACGTTGGCAGCCTCTCAACTTCCCAGTTAGTCCCCAGGGTCTGTTGGTTTGGCGGTATTACCGAGAAGGCCCCTCGTTCCTTGGTTTGGCCCTTTCCACGGAGTTATCAGCCTCCCTCCCCAGCAAAATTGGTTCTCTCCGTTACGAGCCGCCGAACCTTCCTCTTGTTGGGCTTAGAGGGCCCTTGGAAGCCATTCCTGGCCCTTTACTCTCTCTGGGACCTCGGGGAGGGTGACTACCTGATGCTTCTTGAGCCCAACACACCCTACCAGCCTGTCCACCGGACTCACCGACGTTTGCCGCGCTGGAGAAAGCCAAGCACAGCAATAGGCACCACCCCTCGGCGCCCATGGGGGCTGTTCTCGGGCCCTCCTCCCCCGCCGCCCTTCTTCAGTCCCCCCGCTGGCCAGGGGTCGGCTGGAGAAGGGGCTCCAAACACCCCTGCCTGGTTGGCCGCCTGGCCCCGTCAGTCCTCTCCGCCTACTTGACTTTCGCTTTCACTTTGAGAAAGTGTCATCGCGGCTGCCTTAGCCGCTGGCTGAAGCCATTGGTGCTGGAGCCAGAGTCTGGTCACTGTTGTTCCTTTTCACCTTCTCACCCGCAAAAGAAATCCCCTGGTGATTTCGGGACCTGACTCTGCTGCGTGTGCCCCTTTGCCCTTTTGCTTCCGATCAGCCCCAAGAATGTGGAGAGAGAGTACGGGAACGGAGGCAGGTTGGAGGAAGGAAGGGACTGATGACAGATGAAGGCTCCTCAGCAGCTGGGACCTTCTCCCGCTTCCCGTCGGTGCCCTACCTGCCAGCCCCGCCACCACCCCCAGAGGCCCCAGCGCGTCTGCGCCGAAGAAAGCTCCGCCCTCAGATCGTAGGGTGTGCGTAACCTGCGCTCAGGGTGGGCGGGTCCGCTCGCAGGTTGGGCGGGTCTGCGCGGGGGGTGGGCGTGGCCTGTGTTGGGAGATTGAGTTCAGAGCTGGAGAGCTACGCACGCTATGTTTTTTTCATTTTTTTTTTTTTAATTTTATTGTAGTGGCTTTTGCCATACATTGACATGAATCAGCCATGGATTTACATGTGTTCCCCATCCTGAACCCCCCTCCCACCTCCCTCCCCATCCCATCCCTCTGGGTCATCCCAGTGCACCAGCCCCGAGCACTTGTCTCATGCACCCAACCTGGACTGGCGACCTGTTTCGCACTTGATAATATACATGTTTCGATGCTGTTCTCTCAGCATTATTTCACCAGATTTCTGTACCAAAGGTACAGCACGTGGGCTTTATGAAGGCGGAATGCTTTCTCCTGGAGCCCCAGCCCCGTTGCAGCTCAGGGCTGCAGCTGACCCACCCTGTCTGGAAAAGGCACACAGGATAGGTTCCCACTACTCGTCCCTCTTGAATGCAGAGTTCCAGAGAATAGCAAGGAGAGATAAGAAAGCCTTAAGTGAACAATATGAAGAAATGGAGGAAAACTATAGAATGGGAAACACTAGAGATCTGTCCAAGAAAATTGGAGATAACAAGGGAACATTTTCATGCAAAGATGGGCACAATAAAGGACAGAAATGGCAAGGACTTAACAAACAGAAGCAGAAGAGATTAAGAAGAGGCGGCAAGAATACACAAAAGAACTGTACAGAAAAGGTCTTAAGGACTTGGATAACCACAATGATGTGGTCACTCTCCTAAAGCCAGACGTTCTGGAGTGTGAAGTCAAGTGGGCCTTAGTAAGCATTAGTATGAGCAAAAACTAGGGGGGAGGTGATGGAATTCCAGCTGAGCTGTTTAAAATCCTAAAAAGATGATGCTGTTAAAGTGCTGCACTCAATATGCCAGAAGATTTGAAAAACTTAGCAATGTCCACAGGACTAGAAAAGGTCAGTTTAACTTCAATCTCAAAGAAAGGCAATGCCAAAGAATGTTCATACTACTGTACACTTGTACTCATTTCACATGCTAGCAAGGTAATGCTCAAAATCCTTCAAGTGAAGTTTCAGCAGTACATGAACCAAGAACTTCCAGATGTATAAGGTGGATTTAGAAAAGGTAGAGGAACCAGAGAACAAATTGCCAACATCTGTTGGATCATAGAAAAAAGCAAGGGAATTCCAGAAAAGCATCTACTTCTTCTTCATTGACTATGCTAAAGCCTTTGACTGTGTGGATTACAACAAACTGTGGAAAATTATTAAAGAGATGGGAATGCCGGACTGCCTTACCTGTCTCCTGAGAAATCTGTATGCAGGTCAGGAAGTTAGACAACAGTAGCAGTTAGAACGGAACATAGAACAATGGGCTGGTTCAAAGTTGGGAAAGGAGTACATCAAGGCTATATGTTGTCACCCTGCTTGTTTAACTTCTATGCAGAGTACATCATGTGAAGTGCAAGGTTGGATGAATCACAAGCTGGAATCAAGATTGCCAGGAGAAATATCAACAACCTCAGGTATGCATGTGATAACACCCTAATGGAAGAAATTGAAGAGGAACTAAAGAGTCTCTTAATGAAGATAAAAAGGAGAGTGAAAAAGCTGGCTTAAAACTCAGCATTCAAAAAACAAAGATCATGGCATCTGGTCCTATCACTTCATGGCAAATAGGTGGGGAAAAAATGGAAACAGTAGCAGATTTTATTTTCTTGGGCTCCAAAATCTTTGTGAACAGTGATTGCAGCCTTGAAATTAAAAGATGCTTGCTTCTTGGAAGGAAAGTGAAAGTGAAATTGTGAAAGTGTTAGTCACTCTGTTGTGTCCCACTGTTTGTGACCCCTGGACTGTAGCTCACCAGGCTCCTCCATCCATGGAATTCTCCAGGCAAAAATAGTGGAGTGGGTGGCCATTCCCTTCTCCAGGGGATCTTCCTGACCCAGCGATCGAACCCGGGTCTCTCACATTGCAGGCAGACTCTTTATCATCTGAGCCACTAGGGACAACAGCAAACAGTGACAAATCTAGACATTGTATTAAAAAGCAGAGACATCACTTTGTCAACAAAGTTCTGTATAGTCAGAGCTATGGTTTTTCTAATAGTCATGTACAGTTTTGAGAGTTGGACTATAAAGAAGGTTGAGCACTGAAGAATTGATGCTTTTGACTTGTGGTGCTAGAGAAGACTCTTGAGAGTCCCTTGGACAGCAAGGAGAGCAAATCAGTAGGTCCTAAAGGAAATCAACCCTAAATATTCATTGGAAGGACGGATACTGAAGCACCAATACTTTGGCCACTTGATGTGAAGAGCCGACTCACTGGAAAAGATTCTGATGCTGGGAAAGATTGAAGGTAGGAGAAGAAGTGGGTGACAGAAGATGAGATGGTTGGATAGCATCACCGGCTCAATGGACATGAATTGAGCAAACTCCAGGAGATAGTGAAGGACAGGGGAGCCTGGTGTGCTGCAGTCGTTGGGGTCACAAAGAATTGGACATGACTTAGCGACTGAGCAGCAATAGTTTCTCAAGTCTGCACACAGGAAAGGGTCCAGATGAGAGGGTGGTGCTGAAATTCGAGGTGCCCTGTCTTGATCTCCTTGGATGGTCAGTGGGGTGAGGTGGAGGCTAGGACTTGATTGCAGTGATGGCCTTCTCTGAGGAGCACTGGCTCAGAAGTAGGAAGTAGGCTCTGGTTTTCGGTAATCCTCCTGAATGGGGATGGCACTGCCCTCTTCCTCGCTGGGACAGGTATAAGCACAAGGCTCTGCAGGTGCCACTGGACTTCCTCCTGCATCTGCAGAGGAGAATCAGAGGAGAGGTGAAGGGAGAAGGGCTGAGTGAAGGCGGGCTGTCAGGAGGGCCCCAGCAGAGTAGAGGGGAAGAGAGGCGACGGGCTGGTAAAGATAGAGCTGGAGAGGCCCAGAGGTTCCTCTGGGATTGGGTGGCAAAGCCAAGATGGTGGGGCGGGGTGGGGTGCAGGACCTGTATTTTGTCTCTTACTTAATCTCTTACTTAATTTTCTTTGTTGATGGAGGAACAGGGCTCCGACTATGGTGAAAGCAAGAAACATTCCAGAGAGGAGCACAAAGATGCGGATGCAGTTCGCGCTGCACAGGGACCTTTGGGCTGTGATGGGGTAGGCAGGGGTCACAAAGGGGCTTGGGGGAGGGCCTAGCCCTTGATTCCCCTCAGCCCAGCTCTTCTGCCCCCTTCTCTCCCCTTCCCCATCTTCTTCCCCTACCCCCACCATTGGACCATGTCCTTTCCCAATCTCTGCACTCTGCTTCTGTTTCTTCTTTTTATTTATTTGATCTTTGTTGCCCTGTGGCTTGTGGGATCTTAGTTCTCCCACCAGGGATCAGGCCCGAGTCCCCTGTATTGGAAGCGAGGATTCTTTACCACTCAACTTCCAGGGAAGTCCTTTCCTCCTCTTCTTGCCCCCGCTCCTAGGAGCTTTGTGGCTGGCTTCCTTTCTGAGGGCTTCCCTGGGGGCTCAGATGGTAAAGAATCTGTCTGCCATGTGGGAGACCTGAGTTTGATCCCTGGATTGGGAAGATCCCCTGGAGAAGGGAATGGCTCCACACTCCAGTGTTCTTGCCTAGAGAATTCCATGGACAGAGGAGCCTGGTGGGCTACAGTCCATGGGGCCGCAAAGAATTGGACGGGACTGAGCAACTTTCCCTTTCCCTTCTGAACCCTCCTGCATGCATTCTCCTCTCTCTCTTGGGGTGGAGAGTGGGGAGAAAACTCACGTGACCAGTGGGTTGAGAGGGTTGGGGCCGGCAACCACCTGGAGTTGGCCAGAGTCTGAGTGTGCCGATCTGTCCTGGCCTCTGGGATCTCTGGAAAAGCAGACGAGTTGGGTAACAGCCAGGGGCCCCGGAGGACACAGGGCAAGGCTGAAGGCCTGAGAGGCCCTGGGGGAAATGGGAAGGTGGAGACAGGGTGACAGGAGGCAGCTTATGTGAGGCTGGGTATAGGAGAGGGGGTGCTGGTTGGGATGTGATCAGACCAAGGGTTGCCTGGAATTTACCTTCAGCATAAGGTAAGTGGGAGGGTTGTGGGTGTGGGCCTGGGGCCTGGGCTGGACCATCACACTCCATACAGTCCTTGTCCCTGCACTGCTGGCCCTCGGGACAGGCACACTCCGAGTTAGCTGTGAGGGTGCAGTTTCGAATGAGACGACCTGGTGACAGAGGAGGGGGGAAGGAACACAACAGGGTCCACTGGCTTAATCCCCGCTCCAGCCCCATCCCAGGCCCACCTCTAGGGCTGTGCTACCCTTCCCATTCCTGCCTCCCTGCCCCATCCCACCCAGGCCTGCCCCTCCTCCACCGTCACCCAGTGTCTTTGCCAATAGTGTCATGGTTATTCAAGAACACCTCGAACCTTTTAGAAACTTCATGGTTCAGAAGTTGAAACAGCTTATATGATTTTCCCTCTCACTCACGGATGCTTTTGTAACTCCTTACTGAAGTATACTGACCGAGAGGTATTCAGGTCACAAACATCTCATATGAGAACTGGGGCAAATTGGACTCTCTGGTGTAACTAGCACCAGATTAAGAAACAAGATGACCAGTCTTGTTTGTTTCTAGTCACTAAAACTATCACTATCCTTCCCACCAAGAATAGCCACTGACTTCCGGACCTCTTAACACCAGGAGTTAATTTTGCCAGTTTCTGAACTCTGTATGTGGAAGGAAGCCTGTGCCTGTGCTCGTCTGTGCCTGCTTTTACTCAGCTCTTGGCGAGACTGAGCCATAGTGTTTAGTGTGACTGCAAATCATTCATTCTCACTGTCACATAGTTTTCCATGGTGTGGCTACACCATGACATATCCATCCCTCTACTGTTAACAGGCATTTGAGTAGTTTATAGTTGCTTGCAATTGGGAACTG